ATGAATGAATGTGATCCTACTGGTGCCGCCATATTGCATCTAATCGCAGAGCGGTAAAACAAAGGAAAGTCTGGTAGTATTTCTGCATTAATGTGAAACAACAACTTAAATCAGTGTGGTGAGGGTTTGAAAAGGGTTTGACCACGTTAGCTAACGTAATACTGATCAAATTGTGATTGTAATTGTCCATCGTGACGTTCACAGACGTTCGTACAGTGCGGCGCATACACAGAGAATAATACACACACTTACATGGTAAAACATTTCTGCTGGAATATCAAATCCGTGATCGTTTAATTGTCTTGTTTCGATCAATTATCATCCAAAATGGTTTTCACACACGAATAAAAAACATTCCCTCCTTCACAACCACGGTGTTACGTACTTCCGCCTCACGTGGTTGATGAGTATTGTTGTTACGGTCTCGCGAGAGAGACAAGACTAACCCCAACTATATTCATCTCAATCTTAAATCAAACCATTTATCAATAGTTGTTGTTGTTGTTGTTGTTGTTGTTGTCAACTACATAAAATAGTGATACAAACACCCCGTGGAAACCATGGAAACAATGTCAGTCCACTCCACAGACAGTCGGACCCCTAGCGGTTAGGAGGACTATATAATTTACATCATATGCTGTGTGGAAATATGTGTATATATATATTTACAGCATATGCTGTGTGTATATATATAAACTACGCACAAAAAGTCAAGAAATGTGTGTTTATTATTTCTTTGTTGTTTTAACTATGCTTCTTGGCAGTACATCTTCCACCATTAGAAAGCCTGTTTATTTCCCATTTGTAAGGAAGATGCAGTTGTGGGATGAGCAGCAGAGATGAGTATGTGAGTTGTGCCCATGAAAAATTTGCCAAATCTTCTCTGCCAATGCCAAAGAGCTTTTCTTTGCTGTTGCTATTGACTCTGTTTTGAGCTTCTGGCACCCGTAAATGAGGCTTGTCATCATTGGAGGCAATCTCAATAGAGTCATATCATTAATACCTCCAGAATTTGAGAGTGGAGAGGAGAATTACCCGCCAGCAGCCCTGACCTCAACCCCATTGAACACGTGTGGGATCAGCTTGGCGTGCTGTTCGTGCCAGAGTGACTATACTAAAATATGTTTCTGAAATGATTTTAGGTGAGAAATAGGCAACGCAGTAACATAATCTTGATCATTTGATCAGCGTGTGGTGTGGACAGACTCACTGACTCACAATCATAAGGTAGCCACGGCCAAAAGCATACATGGCTTAATGGTCTATTTTACCCTTAATTGGACCATCATTTACTAAATGAACATCATAATGTATGGAAGAAGATGTTAAACTAACGAAGGAGCCCCTAAAGACGGCTCATTCTTCGGATCCACCGTTAATTTACACCCGCCAGAACCAGCAGATCTACAACATTAAACTATAATAACATAAAACATGAGCCATAGATTAGCAGTGTATGTCCCTGTGCACTGTGGAGAAAAGCTATTACACAAACTGACATTAGCTAACGTTATACATGAAACTCATGCTAGACATATAATTATAAGCACACAGAGTAACTTGGTGGGCTTGGTGTTGGTGGGACAGCAGGATGAAATCCGGGGACGGAGACGGTCGGCTCCGTTCACCAGTAACAACGGATTACCCATGAATCCCAGTTGTCTCTGATGAAAGTTGGGGAAACTACCCATTGTAAAATGATCGTTACCGAGGTGGGTGTTGGTGGTGATCCCCACCTCTCCACCAACATAAGCTGCTCTGCAATTCCTCCCATTCAAGGAACATGCACTTGCAGGTTGACGGCATACTTAAGCTAGCCAGCAAACGCTGTGGCTAATAACAAGAGACGGTTGTGATGACTCAAAAAAACGAGCGGGAGAACCACCGATGTTAGCGAGCAGTGCGCTTTTATACTGCTACAGCGTGAGTGGCTCCAGTGCGTCAACGAGTCATACTTTAAGCCCCGCCCAAAAAAAACCTGAACCCAAAACCGGTACAGAGAAAAACCTTCAGACTCCTCAATTCAGCACCACATAGTTCCCAGTCTTTTATAATGTTTTCAACAGTTATTTTATGACTCATAATAACTTTATATGTAACTTTAAAGTGAATGGGATCACTGTGTTACTGCAGCCAATTGGAGCTCCCCCTGCTGGCCTTCACATAGTATGCAGGTTGTAAGACACTTCCGCGTTGGCGTCACTTTTCAGACCCGGAAGCTCTGTCCATATACGGCCAATGGTGGTCAAACACAGCAGGCGTGACTCAATACTGCCCTCTGATTGGTTCGTGTGACGGGACCATTAACATCTGATCTGACATATCAACAAAAACAACAAAAACAACAGGAGGTAAACGCCGCCCCGATTACTACGCTTAATGACAGCCTAACACATATAAGCAGCGTTTATTGCAGAACAATTACAGGTAACTGGAAACTGTCTCATGAATAAACTGTACTTTAAACTGTACCACATTAGCACCAGTAACTCGCTACCTCACAACTATCCGCCTGACTTCCTTCATCTTTCAGAAGAGACTGGAAAGTGTCCGCCTGACTGCTGCTCTCCTGCTCTCTCCAGCCTCAGCTGACTGACATGGCGCAGAACCTCGCCACGAAGTTGTTTCGACCCACTGTGTTCGTACAGTTTGTAAGTTGTCGGAATAGTTTTCTACTTTGTCCTGTTCTGAGTGCTTTTCCCGAATAACGCATGTGACTCTCCGGTCTTCCGTCCAGGCGTCTCTCCGGTCGGGCTGCGTGTTTCGGGGGGCGGCGGCGGGCAGACATTACTCCAGCCACCCGCCACCGGAGAAAATCAGCCGCTTCCCACTTCCTTACAAGAAAGACCTTCCTTATGATATAGTGGAGCTCATGGAGGAAGTTGAGTCAAAGGTAAAACAAAAATGCGCCCATCTAACTCTACTGGTTATTAACACTTGTTTTAAACTACCTGTTAAACTGTATGTTTCCTTACAGGGAGGCTTTTTGCCCAATGTCTTCAAAGTCCTCTCTCATAGACCTGCAGAGTTCAGAGCCTTCTTCGCTTACTACAATGAACTCATGAACAAAGAGACAGGTGTGTGTTTGTGTTGTTGGTTTTGGTTAGGCATCCTGAGAACAGTGCCCGGGCCCCTAAATCAATGCTGTGCTTAGTGATGTCACAATTTGTTTGATTATGCTTTATATAAAGGCTATATGTAGTATTATTTATCTACATATAGCCTATTCTAAGTCCACAAACCAATACTTGAGACACAATATTATTATACAATATATATCTGTTCATTACATTGGCTAATTACCCGCTGTAGCACTACATTGTGCACTAGTTCTGCTCAAACTCTCATAGTAGAGTCCTTTTAGACTTTACCTCTATTCCCACAGTTGTTTACACACTGTTGATTGGTTGCACCGCAGACGTTTTGTCATAGCAGGAAACTCACAGGTGTATTAATCATAGCTGCATACCACTTAGGGGAAGTCCTGTTATTATACATGTTGGTTCACTGTTCCTGGGACACTTAATGGAACTGAGCCATCGTTACCTGGGTTTTTTCTGGCTTAGACAAGTGAAAATGTCTGCCGTGCAACCCGTCCATTCAGTTCAGATAAGTACAGTATTTTAGGTTAGCAGTTAGCGATTGCTTTCTCTCCCTCTCTCCTGCTCTCTGTTTCTCAGTATGTCAGGTATTACATTTTAGTTATTCCTCTGTCGCTTTTAGTGATGAGGGCACATGTAATAAATGTAGTTTATTGGATGCGAGGCTCAGTACCATGTAAACTAAAATCGTTTGCTGCTGTAGTTATTAACCCCCCAGATGCCGATGTAGCTTCTGTAATGATTTGCCTCTAATGAAATATTTCCAAATGGGGCTTTTCAGATTGCTTGGAGAGCAATCTCTCTCTGCGGCTGAGTTGGGTTGTGAAATTTCTGCCATCATTACTATTGTATTTGAATGATTTGCTCGTTTCAGCTTGACCTACATGTCCCTTTTAACCAATGAAAGTGATGTGGAGCTCCTTTCTGTGTGTTAAAGGAGCAGTGTGTAGGATTTAGTGGCATTTTTCAGGGTTGTGCTTTGCAGGTGCTTCCATTTTAGTGGCATGAAAAACCCCTTGTGGAGTGCAGCTGGTACATGAGAAGGCAGGTGTGACAGTGAATTTGTTTCAGCTGAAACAGTGGCAGGTATTGTGGTTCTGAGCTGTGGCAAATTAGGGCTGGTTGAAGCAGGTAAATATCATCTTGGGAAACAAAATAGACAAGCTGTCACTCAGGCTGCTGGCGTAAAGCAGCATGTGTTGCTTTCTGTGCCGAATTTATTTCGACTTAAAAGTTGCCAAAATGTGGCAAAGAAAATGCTGAGTTGGCCCCACTGCTCACAGAGTGGGTGAGATGTTGTTGTCATAGTGAAAGGCTCATGATAAAACAGAAGTAGTCATTACAACAACACATTGGGTATTTTGTTTCTATGGCTTTTATTTAATTGGGTTTTAAACCTCAAATGCCCTTTGTTTTGTTTTGAACGGATGTTTAGTTAGCCTACATGTGAACCGTGACTTATTGACTAAGGAGAAATGTTCCCCCTGAGGCTGGATCAATTAAGAACCAGTGGCGTGGAATATGCACAGAGTAGCCCATTATCATGATTCAGCTTTTCAGGAACGACTGATGAATAAGCCCTTAATGAGAAGATGAGAATCCAAACCATTCTCAAACTGTCTCTACTAAAGTGAACATTATAAGCTTCTTTTGCATGGGATTGTGGTGTTTTGGTATTGTGGCCACTGAATACCAGGAGACTATTCCAAGAAGCAGGTTAACTCAGTTATATAACCTTTTTAACACAACTTTGTTGATTAAACCAGAACCTACTCAAATCTAAAACATGGTTAACATTTGAGTCAAGAAAGCTGTTGTACTCCACAAAGTCCAACTTTTGAAGACTCTTTTCCAAGTAGATCATGAGTGGCAACTTATAAGTCAACTTTCTAATTAATTTAATATTTAATGTCTTCCAGGCCGATTAACCAAGGCAGATCGTGAATTGATTGTAGTGGCTACCAGTATCCACAACAAGTGTCTTTACTGTGTGGTATCCCACAGTGCACTGCACCGCATCTACTCCAAGAAACCCACTCTTTCTGATCAGGTATTCTTTTTAACTGATTTGAACTTTTTGCTTTTTATAATGCACAATTACTGCAGTCACAACAGAGGTTAAACTAGTCATTTCAGTCCAATATCTCATTATGTGATGTATGCAAAATGTTGCAATACAGTATGTGATGAGAGTGGACAAGAAGTTGCTGTTTGTCAAATACTGGCAACAGATATTTCAGAACACACATAAATCTCCACCTCTGTCTAATTAGCTCCCTCCCTGTTTTCACCCAGGTCGCTGTTAACTATGAGAATGCAGATCTGTCACCTCGGGAGCGTGCCATGCTGGACTTTGCAATGGCCGTGTGTCGCTGCGACACCATTACAGAGCAGCATTTCCAGTCGTTGGAGGAGGTGGGCTTTGACCGTGAGGATGCCTGGGACATCGCTGCCATTGCTGCCTTCTTTGCCATGTCCAACCGGCTCGCCCACCTCACAGACATGAGGCCAAACTTAGAATTTTACAATATGGGTCGTGTACCACGGGACAAGAGCAAGGACGGAGGGCAGGTGAAAAAGGAATAGTGTTATAGACCACACTTTTCCTTTGTATATAAGGAGGTCCAAGGCCATGTGTTACACTAAAGCTAATGGTGTGTCAGTTCTGTTTTTTATTTTTGTCTCCCTGATCATGTGAACAATCAGATGTTTTCTAAATTAAGTTGAAATCAGGTGCAATATCAGATCTACAGGTATGCAACTGGACAGCAATTCAATTTGAATGTTAGAATTAGTCGGTGTCCTGTGATCATAATTTAGGTTGCATACAGGAGATGACAGACATTTAAAATTGTAGTCCCTAAAACTGAGAATATGGTGAAGATAAGTTTTCCTTATAATCCTTGTTTGTGCAACTGTACAGTATATGTGAATGACAGAAGACTTTAGGTTGTAAGATGTGTACTTTCTTGTGTTGGTTGTTTGGACAGACATGGTTTTATTGGTAACTTATTTACCATTGTGTTTAACTGTAGTCATTATGTCTGCTTATTTACCTTCACATTTAGAATTTTAGGTGGTTATGTTTCTTGTATGGTGGGGAAAAGTTAATATTTTGCAGCTAGTTGTCCACTAGATTAAATTTAACGACACAATTCCATAGCTGTTTTTTAACTTCAACAAATAAGGTTCGTTTGTTATTTCTTTGTTCACCAGTTAAAAGTGTTCTGTGTTGTATAATGCACTGGTACGGTCTCTGCCACCAAGCGTGCAAACAAGTCACTGACATTGTTCGCAGCAATGTAAGCTTGTGTTCTAAAGAGCCTCCCTTTATCTTCTAAATAAACCAGTATTTCTTTTGATTTGGAATAATTGATTTATAATAAATGACCTGAGTATCACAGTTAACAGCTGGCAGTTGGCGGCAGGACAGTAAGAAGTACTGTGTATCACCTCCAGATGGCACTGCATCCATACACATATTGGAATGGCCTAAATTCACACTACTAGACTAGAGGACTAGACTAAAAGATTAATGAGTTCTTATACCCCCAGCTGCACATGTGAGAGACGTTAGCCAACATCACCTTATATAAAGAGAGCAGAAAGGTCTCTTAAGAGGACTCTTACTCCATAGTCATGGTTAGGATCATACATGAGGATTCAAAGCTTGACTGTAATTTTCTTTCACTGCACGGGGATTTGATGAACCACTGTTCCTGATTTAAATTCTGTGTGTACACAACATTTTCTCCCAAAGTTATTTTTCTGGCAGCCTACTTTTTTTTCTTTTCTTTTTTTTATAGCTGACATCCCTGTGTTGTCTGATACAAGTCAAACATGACTCCAGGCATCACCAGAAAATGTACTTTGCTATGCAGATGTGAGTGATGTTACAGTTACAAGCGCTGGGTTGCAAATGAAAGCACCCATGTAAATTGTCTTTTTCGTGTAAAAACTATTCTCGCTTGAATATTTAGGGGGTACTGACCCTGGAGGAAACGTGGTCGAGAGTGATCAGAGCTTTAGTGAATGCATCATAAATCATGTGTATTAATCATCAGTATTAACATGGTGAATGATGGTGAGGGATATTTACTCAAGTGGAGTGGGACTCTTCAGGTATACACACACACACAAACACACACACACACAAACACACATTAAAGCCCCCCTTGATTTCATTGATCTGCTGAAAGTGGAAAGTTTCTGATTTAAGGGCCTACAAGCAAGATTTGTGACATGACAAATAGTTTGAAAAGTGAATCCTGGTCCAATATCCAATTTATACAAGTGTGATATAGAAACGTGAGGCCACCGGTGCACGCACTGTGAATGTACTGTAGTAGCAGGGTTAGGACAAGTAGGAGACATCAAGTCAAGTCAGCTTTATTGTCAGA